AGACAGCCTCTCAACAATATGCGTTTTTGCTGGCTGTAGCAGCGCTATAGCGCTGCACAGCAAAAATGCATCACAAACAGATTTGAAACCCAAGACGCTTTGAAATGGCATAATAACACTTCATTTGTCTGTAAATACAAGTTCAAGATGAAAATTGACAAGCGACCTCGAAATTTTGACCGTCAACAGAAAGTGGTGGCGATACAAAAGCAATAAAGCTTGAAGGAATGTAAAAGGGAAGTGTTGTTATGCCATTTTACAACAACAGCACCTGAAAACGAAAATGAACGGCCGAACCATGGACGGGGCAAACATGGAGGTCGTTTGTAGAAAATTCTACATGAATTTGTTTGTGACATGCGCCGGCTTTCTAGGACATCTTTTTCGCTCTACCAGGCATCAAGCTCCTACTGCGCTTATCAGCAAGGCAAAATGTGCAGCCTTTCAAGTAAAAATTGATGACATTAGCATCAAATTGTATCAGACCCGCAACACACGAATTTAAAAGGTCTCTGCGTTCAGTTTAGTCGGTACTTTGCTGTCGCGAAAGCATAACGAACAAAGTAAGAAAGTGGACCTGAAAAAAATCGAATCGAAAATGAAGTTGGTGCAAAGAGTCGTATGTTTTAATCAGATTGCAAATAATTGGCGCTGAAATGATAGAAGTTGACAGCCACATCTGTCTTGGCTGGGAAGTAAATTTGCTTTACAATTTCCAGCCAGTTACTGCGCGTAAAAGGACTGTAGGTCGGCGCAGATTTCACACCATCAACAACGTTCTCGAAGTGTTGAATCGAAAGGGCCGTTGCTCATCTTTTGAATAACAATGTGCTTGAAACAATGTCGCACGGATGCGCACCGTGATCATTCACGGAAGTTGAAAAGCGACCATTGGCTGTGACAAAGATAGCGATGGAGCGAAAATTGCGTGGCATATGCCTTTGTGACCAGATAAACAATCAAACTGACCGTCAGATGCGTAACATGCAGGATAATACCATCGAGAAGGTAAAATCCAGTGGACACGGCACGTTGCTGTGCTCATCGGCAATTCAGTGTCACAGTGGTATGGGCGGGAAACAAAAGACCACTCGAACCGCCTTCGAACAGTGCCGTACATACATCGGAAATCATTGGCGATACATACCGGGTAGCCCAAGCGTTCATGCTTTTTGCAGTATTCCGTGCCGCGATAAGATCGGCTAGAATTCCAGTAGCTAGAATTTGTGGCATGCTGGTCCATGAAGTTTAGGAAGTTGATTTTGCAACCGCGTAGTACTTAGTCAGGGAACATCCCCTCAGAATTTCAGCTCACTAGCTTTTCTGGTACCCGAGTTAGCAGTTTTCTCACCATAAATTTTTGCGGGGTCATACGCGAGAACCACGCATGCCTGGGGACTGAATTTGAAATCCTTGACTTGTAAGTAGGCTGGGAACATCCCCTTAAAGTTTCAGATTCCCAGTTTTTCTGGTCCCTGAGTTAGCAATTTTTGCGCCAAAACTTTCACCCACTCGAACGCGGAGCCCAGACGTGCTTGAAAGTTGGTGCTGCGGTCTTGGGATGGCACTTAGTAGGGGAACCAACTGACAAAATTTTGGCGCCGCAGCTTGCTTGGTTGCCGAGTTGAGATACCTGGCCAGACGAGCACACATACAGACAGGGTCTTTACAATAAGTGTTTTTGTGCGTTTTTGCTGTGCCAGCAAAAACACAAATTGTCGAGAGATTATCTGTGTGCGTGTGTGGGTTTGTGTGTTCAGAAACGAGTGCATTTTGTCACCCACTTTTATCTCAGCAGCCAGAAAAGCTGGGGGGCTGAAATTTTGGGTGAATGTTCCTACCGCATGTGTCACCTTCCTGTTTTAAGCTCTTCCCCCACACGCGCCTAGACCTCGCATACGGGCCCCGTGAAAAAAATATGCAAATTTCTTTGGCGGGAAACGATTTCGCGAACCGCGCAAGGCACATGTGTTCTTAGTCCTGCTAGGGAGTGAAATTCCTTGCAAGTAGGCGTGAGAAACACTCAACTTTACTGAAAAATCAGAAACGAATGCGTTTTACAGCGAAAGACTGCCTTCATCCAAATATGTATGTGAACATTCAGTTCATTTGAATACTTGGATTTTTTGACAAACGACCGTTTGAGCAGCACTTCCACTTTTTAGTGAACTGAAAATTTGCATTTTTTCAAAAAATTTGCATTTTTCACTTTT